GAAATCTTAATTTACTCGATTTTAATGTGCAATAATCCTAATAAATATTATAATAAATTTCAGGCAAAATCTATTGCTAAAAAAAATGGACTTTTCATGGCATCAAAGCAAAATTGAGATCTGCAGGAAAGCACAAGTGTTACACTCAGGAGGAGAAATGTTTGGGGAAAAAAACACATTTGCTAACATATACATTAAAAACATTAGACTGTAAATGCCACCTCAGCTGGATTTGGTAAATTTACTGCAGAACAACACGACAAGTGCTGGAACGTTTTTTTGAATTATGCACCATTTGGGGCAAAATACCCCAAATATGGCAGAAGTCCAATGAGTTCTCACTCAGATCTTCTTTCCAAAATATTTCATGTATTATTGCCAAAGATTTTAAATTATCAAGGTAGAAATATATATATGGTGTCAATTTCAGCACAATATAGAAAGAATTGATACCAACTGTTTCGTAATGCAGCTGTATTCTAAGCCATGTACTTTCAACATTTTTTTTATTATTTATTGTTTTATTATTTATCAAAGATAAAAGGAGTAAGTCATTGCTTTATTATTTATCAGAGATAAAAGAAAGAATTGGGGATACCACCAGCCTCACCTATTTAGGACTTCCAGCTAACATTTCTAATTTTTACGAATGTATATTTTTAGCAAATTCCAGTTTAATGATGTCAATGTCATGTAAAGAATTGACACAGTCAATTAAGCCACTCAGTGCCACCTGTCAGAAATTCCTTTGCATGTTTAAAAGAAACCCTAGGAGAGATGGTATTCATTCTGTGGGTGCTCGCAACTATAACACAGTCAAGTGACAAGATAATTAACTCAGCAAACCAAAGTAACAATGGCTAATTCTCAGTCCACCCTCCATAATACAATCCAGAATCCACAGAATAAACAGAACATCACTTTGCTGACCCAGAGTTATTCCCTGGGTTTTAAAGGATGTCATCAGTAGGGCAAATAGAAAATTGCGGAAATATTTACCCAAACTTGTGGGGAAATTTGACAAATTGTGCAGAAAATTGCAGGAAAATTTGCCAAATTTTGCAGAAAATTGCAAGGCGTTGATTTGTACTAATGAAGTACATTTTTTCACTTCATTGAGAAAAACTAAACATGAAGAAATAACATATATTAAATTGATGCAAAAAAAATTCAACAAAAACCTGGTGGCCCACTTGGGAGGGAGGTGGGGAGGAACACCAGCACAGGCCGAAAGGGCCGAATGGTCCATGTCTACACCATACTAATTTGAAGGCCTAGAAATCTGCCAAAAAACAGCACTGCTCACCAGAGTCCTGACTTCAGGGCTACAGGAGGTCGCACAAACACACACACACACACCACGGCCACACACGCTTACAGACAGACATACATACTCACAAACACGTACACACATACAGACAGAGGAGACACACAGACACATTCACACAGAGACACTCAAACACAGACACACACACTTATAGAGGAGAGACACACAGACACAGAGATAAACACACACTCACACATATAGAGAAGGGAGAGACACACAGACATTCACAACAGCGGAGACTCGGGGTGAGCGAAGCCCATTTCCCGCTCCTGCCGCACTGCTCATGCGTGTCTGGAGCCGCCCCACCCGCAGTGACGGTGAATAATCAGTCGGCAGCAGCACAGGGGCCCGGGGTCGCGAGGAAACTTCATTCAGGTTTGTAGCGGATTCCGCGGAAAAATTGCAGCCGCACTTTTCTATTGGCCCAAGTGATAAATCATTCATGCACTCTGAAGTGTTGGTTATTTACGAGTCATTCACACTCATGAAATAGCTCTCAAAATGCACTGCAACTGCAACCATAACCATATCTCATTTAGAATTTCTCTCCAATCTACTGTGTGAATGTTTCACTGCAAAGCGGAATTATATAGGAGATAAGCATCCTTGTTATCATTGATCACACTTGAGAAATCAAAGCTTTCTCTCATAAGAAACAATCATTACTTCAACTGATGCAATGACCTACTAAGATAATACATGCATTATGGAGAATTGTTCTCTTAATTCAAATCAAATGACCTCTTGGAAACTCTCATTGTATTAATGCATCATAAAGCAGATTGATGTTCTTTGTATGTCAATTCTAAAAGGTTGGAACTCTCTTGGCAATTTAAAAGAAACAGACATTGTAATTTCCAACTTTAAAAGTATCCACATATATCACTCACATAAAATGATAGATGTTAGGAATTAAGTTCAATGATTTAATTCACTTTTAGGATTTGGACAATATTACACTGCACAATACTTGTGTTTCAGTTGTCTATAATGTGATTGGGTTACACCCTTGTAATTCACTCCAAGGTATCCATTATTCATCTAATGCACACAAACTGGGATGATTAGAGTTTAAAGGGCCAACAGTCCTCGTTTTGTAAAATCTGCAGAAAATCTCATTTAACAAAGTTGGTTTATTAAATGTTAATGGAATCATCTCAGCATCCAACATTCTTAAATACTCTGAAAACAACAACAACAACAACAAGATTCCATTTATAAAGCGCCTTTCACGTCAGGAGGACGTCCCAAGGCGCTGCACAGTTGGGTCATGACCCGAGCAGGGGGGAAATGGTCAGGGTGAGGGAGGGAAGGGAGGGAGCGAGGAGGGGGGAAATGGTCAGGGTGAGGGGAGGGAAGGGAGGGAGCGAGGAGGGGGGAAATGGTCAGGGTGAGGGGAGGGAAGGGAGGGAGCGAGGAGGGGGAAATGGTCAGGGTGAGGGGAGGGAAGGAAGGGAGCGAGGAGGGGGGAAATGGTCAGGGTGAGGGGAGGGAAGGGAGGGAGCGAGGAGGGGGGAAATGGTCAGGGTGAGGGGAGGGAAGGGAGGGAGCGAGGAGGGGGGAAATGGTAAAGGTGAGGGGAGGGAAGGGAGGGACCGAGGAGGGGGAAGAGAGTCGAGAGGGGAGCTGAAGGCTCGGTCAAAGAGAAAGGTCTTGAGACCGGCCTTGAAGGAGGAAAGGGAGGCAGTGGCGAAGGCACTGGGGGATAGAGTTCCAGAGCCTCGGGGCTGAGAGGCTGAAGGCTCGACCACCGATGGTAGGGCGATTGGGGCGGGGGATGTGGAGCAGACCGGAGCCGGAGGAACGGAGGGTATGGGCAGGTAGGTAGGGGGATAGTAGGTTGGAGAGGTAGGAGGGAGCAAGGCCGTGAATGGCCTTGTAGGTGAGGATGAGGATCTTGAAATCAAAAGTACAATTTCATTCCAATATACTGACAAATATATATATTACACAATGTCAATAACACTGCATTAATAGATACAGTAGATGGACACAGTAGAGCTCTCATTTTATAACAGAGCTGCCATAACCAGTTTCGCTAGGCAGCAACAACAACAACAAATTATATTTGTATAGTGCCTTTCACATCTAGAGGTCATTCCAAGCTGGAAGTGAAGTCGACGGTGACCTAATGAACTGGAAGTTGATCATTTTTAGCTCAGGAACAGGTCACTGCGCACACGTGCAGTAAAAGGGTATCCCACTCACACCACACCAATCCATGGGGTCTATTGTATATCACACGTAAATCATTAACACTAACGAACCAATCAATTATTAATGAAGAAATTATCATCTACTTAAATAAAAATAATATAATTATACATTATGATCATGAATAACTGGAGATTTTCTTTTATGCACTGTTATCCTTCAAATTTAAATTCACTAAATTAATGCTCATTAAAAGGTAAATTTACCAATGACACTTTTTACTTAAGCACAAGCTAATAACATGCAGCTTAAAAGCCATTTAACGGAGCAGTCATCATTTCACCTGTCAATACTGACAGTAATAACATGACATTTACTTTCCTCCCTCAATAAAGGTTCAGTCAAGAGACTATTAAAGCCTGTCATTCCCTCGACAGGTGTGTGGAAAATAATAATATGAAGTAGGAGCACGACAAGGGACCTAAATGTGTCCATGTGTATGTTCTCATGTGTTTTCTTAAGTTGGTGAGTGTCTTCAGTATCTCCGTCATGCCTCTGAATAAATTAATCTGTTGATTCGGTACAAATATTGTTTAACATTTTACGTATTAAGATTGAATTGATACCTGACTTATGCCAGCTCCAAGCTAATTTTTAATTAACCATTTCATCAAGGAGATTCAATTTTATTAAGCTGCACCACAAGGAAAAAACAATAGAATTTTTCATACAGTGTAAATCTATAAAATAGCCAATATATTCTAAATCGAAGGTAATTTTAAGGGATATTTTTGCTCTGGGGATTATACCACTGTCTATGTTTCTTTTGTTTGATGTTTAGCTCACAATATTATTTTTGAGGTTTCTTGAGAGGTTGCCGATTTGCTATTAATATTTCCACACACATTTATGTTCCTTTCAAAACAGTGATGAATAATTTATTGACTTGATGATGCCATAAGCAATACTCTTATATAATCTATTTATAATCTGCAGCATTTATCAGAACAATGCAAAAAAAAGTTGCAAAGGTAAATGACCCCCAATTATTGACAATTAGGTGTTTCTTATTTTATACTATCTCTTTAGCCAATAAATACAAGCATCTCTGTAGAAATCTCTGGTTAGAACATTGAAGAAAAATTATTTATCTTTGATATGAATTATTGCATTTGCTGAGGCAATCTGGGGCAGTGGGGTCAATAACAACATGATTTCTGGTGTTTGTGCTGTCAGAGCTGTTTCAAGAATGCATTCAGTTCATCTACAGCCTGTTACAATATAATACCAGGACACAGCAGTCTGTTAACTCACACTGGAAGACTTTTCAATGTAATTGAAAATTTTAAAATTTTAAAATTTAAAAGTAATTGTAATTTGTGATACCTACAAAAACAAAATTGTTATATTCATCCTGCAGAAATTTTTCACAATATATTACTATATTACTGAACCTAGAAACAGACTACAAGTTATTAAACTATCAGATACAGATCACACGATGAATTGAAAAGCATACCTGAAAGGATAAGAGAATCCTATCTGAATGTTCAGGTTACTTTGTGTCTTGTTTGCACAGTCCACACTGACTTTCAGCTCTCCTGAGTAACCACCGCATGTTGCAAATGCAAAGATTGCAAAAATCTGTCAAGAGAGAAAGAAAAATTGACACTTCAACACACTCTGGCCAATTTAATTTGTGATACAGCCTATTTATTCGTTGGAGTCCTTGGAGTGTCTTCACATTATACCTGCCCCTTCAATGTAACAGACTCCAGTTGACACGAAGGATGAATAGTACTTGATGTTTTGGCAATATATATTTTTTGATGAAGATCAGTTAGTGTGCTAACCAGCAAGCAACATGTCTTCGTAGGCATCCATGAGTCCCCAAACTTTTGGGAAGTCTTCAACAGCTTTCAATTCATAACTTAACCCAACTGCCATGGCTCTGCTCACATTAGGCTTTGATATTATTTGTGGAGTCCTGTAGCTCAGTGGTTAGAGCACTCGCTTTGTAAGCGAGAGACCTGAGTTCAATTCCAGGCAGAGGGCGAAACCTTGGGCAAGTTTCCTTACTCCACACAGAGCCTAATAATAATCCCTCCAAAACCAAAAACAATAATAAATTGGTCATTTTCAATCTATGACTGTTTGTGGGACATCACTGTGCGCAATTGGCTGCCGCGTTCGCCCACAAATATACAGTCAATTCACTTTACAGTGTGTTCTGTGAAGTGCTTTGGGACGTCCTCCCGACTTGAAAAGCGCTATATTAAATGCAAGGATTATTATTATTATTATTAAACTATTGGTTACATTTAGCCATAGTAATCAATTTGTTGCAAAAAACAGCCAGTGTATATCACCGTTCCTCCATCTCAACAACTTTACAATGTCTTCCTTTATTTTCTCCCCGCATTCGATTCTTTCTAGACTGTTGCAGTTCCACTGTTATCTGCAACTGAATCTTTCAAGGGAAATCTAAACCTTCACATGAGGGAGAGGGGAATAGAAGGGATGGGAGTGAGTAAGGAGTGGATGAAGACTTGTGGAATAACAACACAGGCATAGGTTGGTTGGGCCGATTGACCTGTTTCTGTGCTGGACATTCTTTGCTAAACTTTGTAAATCTAATCGTCTGCACTAAAATGTACCGAGCAATACATTTGTTTTGTTAAGGAACCTTTTCCTCTGGTTAATGTTAAATAGCAATGTTTAGTGGGTATAACATTAGTTTAGAGGCGATCAGCAGGGAGCTAAATCCTACTTATTGAATGTCAAATAATTAAAAAAATATTTTTCCAATATAGTCTCATTACTGAGTTCTCCATACCTCATGCTGCATAGCTAGATTAATGATTCAATATGTTCTGTGAACATCTGCAAGGCAGATAATCACTTTAAATTGATACCTTCCATCCAAATAATATATCAGCAAACCAATAGTTCCGTAAACAATGCATTTATGCCGTAAACAATTCATACACAAACGTTGTAATATTCCTGCCATAATCCTGGAATTTGCAGTATAAAATTTTCAGCGAAGCAAATAAAATGATCCAAATATGCTACTTTCCCTTTTCAGATGGGAACTTTATAACTATAGAATTATATGAGTTCTCTGCTGTAACTATGATCTTCTGTACTTCAACCAGCAACGACAGCTCCACTAATGATCATCTTTTAAGTAGCAAATGAGTTATGTGGAGTACAATCCAATTCTAATGGATTGCTCTGCATAATACTAACAAAATTATTCCATCTACTCTAAGGAAAACAGATTGTTGCCCTGTCAAATTAAACCAGAACATGCATAGGTTGATTTTATTGTGCTCTCAAAATACTAAACCAAGAGGATGTAGGTATAGGGTTGCAAAGAGGACTTCAGGATAGACACCAGGAAATATTTCTTTACCGCGAGGATAAAGTCCTGTAGCTTAGTTGTTAGAACACTCGTCTCGCAAGCAAAAGGATCTGGTTTCGATTCCTAGCAGAGCAAAACGTTGGGCATGTTTGTTTACTCCACATGGCTCTGTTTCCTTAGCATAAGTAGGAACCTGGTTGTTAGTTGATCACTTTTCTGGGGGTAATAATGCCTTCAAAATAAATAAAAATAATTGGTCACTCAATCCACAACTGTTTGTGGGACACTGCTATGCGCAGTTGGCTCCCACGTCTCAGCCACAAAATGTACAGTCAATTCACTTTAGAGTAATATTCTGTGAAGCGCTTTGAGATGTCTCGAAACGTGATAAGGCGCTATATAAAATACAAGGATTATTATTGTATTATAATTAATGAATGGAACAAGTTGCCAGGAATGGGCCAGGATGTTGGGGCCTTTTAAACCATTGTTCATACTTATCTCACGTGGGTTTGACAAGATTGTGTGCAGGAGTGCCCTTCTGGATATGGTTCCAACAGCATCTGGCAAAGAATAATGGATTTTATATAGCCTATGTGGCATAAATATGTTTGTTTGACCCCAAACCACCACCAACTCCGGTACAATCCCTTCACTATCCAGTGCCTTGGGAGATCCTACCAATGTGAAAGATGCTACATAAATGCAATTGGTTACTGTTGTTGCATGACCTGGTCCTTATAGATTTGTGGCTCTTTAGCTTTTGCTATTCCTCCTCCATTATTTATTAAACAATCTTCCTACTGCCTCCCCTCCCTTGTTAGTGATCAGTAACGGTCAAATAAAGGGAAAGTTTTCAAATCTCATTTTCTCAGATTCAGTTGAATGATTTGGTCTAACAGTCTCATTCATGAACCACACTTCAAACCGAACCAACTGAGCTCCTCAATCCAATAAAACCGGTTATCATTCATGACTTAAGGGTATTCCCTCATGGTTTAAATGAATCATTTTTTGTGTTGTCTTCAAAGAACAATTTGGGATCCACAGATCTTTACAACAAAGGAATTACATAGACAAGCAGAGGTCTATGTTTTCAAATCTCCTTTTCCATCTGTTCAGCTCTGGTTGTATCTTGGCAGTTAGTCACACCTTAAAGACTACAAAATGATGTTATCATCACTTTGATCTCCTCATATATTCATCTATTTTTCTAGCAGTACCCTATGGCCAAGTTGACAATCGTGTTGTAATAAAATAATACATCAAGTTCATTTAGCTTTTGGGAGCTAGCAAGGTTAGTAAGTAGTATTTTAAAAAGCAAATTAAAGGCCATTATTGAGAACTATGAATAAGAAAATCAAAGACTGTAGATTCATAATGTTTCTATTTTTACAATATTGACCAAACACGTGACAATGTCGTACTTACACATTGCTGTATAACTGATTGTAAATTTCCATTTTATGGTTGTGTTTATGCATATTAATAAAGCCCTAAGGACTACATCATTTGTTTTCATCTGTTTTCAACTGCAAAATTTAATAGGATAGATAAGACACAGCTATTAATTATAATAATGCTTGGCAATTATTTCAAATTCTTATCAAGTCTAACTTTTGTGTAAAAATAGCTTACTAATGGTAAATAGAGACAGAAATACAAATAACAATATCCTTTATCTTTAATATTTCTTGCTGGACATAATACTTAGGTTGCTGTCTGGTCTAAGGAATCTCTTGTATCTACAGGCTGCCCAGTTTTGTACATTTTCAATTCATGCACCATTTTAGGACAGCTCTATTATTGCAATATGATTTCTAATTCACTAAAATAAATACAAAAAGCACATTTTAAATAAAGGTAACCCTTTCAATCCTTCTCTTCTCACACCAGTGTCACTTTGTACTTCTATTTTCTCTTCCTGATTCTTTCTACTCTTCCTATTCTTAATGATTTTCTTTAGAATTTTCTACTCTGTTAAACGACATATATCTTGAAATCCTATAAATTGTATTTTTTTTTGGTATCTACCAGTTACTGCCAGTGATTTCGGAAGATGGAGGCAACTTTTTTAATATAAAAAAAAGTTGCTTTACATTGGCTGAAATTCTGCAATTTACTGGCCAGGTTTGTTTCACAATCTTGAAGTTGACTTCTGTGGAGTCAGTGTCTCAGGAGAGTTTCAGAGTGTCAGCAGTAACATATCCAAGATTCACCATTTACAGATCCATTTCAAGTACTACAATTGCATTAAATGTCATAAACTGAGAAAGTCTACTGACTCGAAAATATACCATTTCCTTCTTTATTACTTTGACAACTTTGGATTATACTGTATGTTATTTTTCAGGGTAATACTTTAAGAGTGCTGAGAAATGTGAAAATGCTCAGTCCATTAATCACTGTTGATTCTTCTGCTGAGTGTAACATTTTGCCATTAGCTCCAGCGTTGCTGAACTTTCATGTTACAGGTGCTGCTGCTCCCTGGTTACAAGTACTTCAGTGAAAACAAAAGAGAATTGTGAGGGGCTGCAAATGTGAAACAGAATAAGGAATACTCATAATTCACATCGGGGTTGGATCTGAAATGTGAAACTGTTCCTTCAAATGCTAACTGACCCCATCTGGGATTTCCAGCATATTTCAAAAATGCATCAACGCTACATTTTCAATGCATTCATTTCCCAAATGAATGTGTTTGTCACGCAGGTGTTTTGGTGCTAAATTGTCTCATAAATTTGCAGACTACTGCTAGTACAAATTCTGCTTAATAACTCACCAATTTTTAAGTTTGCTCCAGCAATAAATCAAGGAATTAAATCCAAGATGAAAACAAACTAGTTATTCAGTTTAATATCTCAGAAACAATCCATTTGATCTTCATGAACAAATCTGGCACTGCAGGATAATAATAATAAATCATAATAATAATCTTTGCATTTGATATGGTGCCTATATCAAATGATGCCATCCCAAATCATTTCATCAGGAATTGCTGTCAAATGCAGTGGCAAATATAAATAGACAATTGCTGAGCTATTAAAAAAAAATGGAAGATTACTGAATCCAGAAAACTTATTAATAATAATAATCCTTGCATTTGATATAGCGCTTTTCACGTCGGGAGGACGTCCCAAAGCGCTTCACAGAACACACTGTAAAGTGAATTGACTGTATATTTGTGGGCGAACGCGGCAGCCAATTGCGCACAGCAATGTTCCTTCCATATGTCACATAACATCCAGTTCCATCACGGATTCTACCTAACTCATCT